CATAGTTATCGCCTGACTATTTCTCCATTCGGTTCGTTCATCACAACAAAATTTTAAAATAGTAATGAAAAACATAATTAACTTTACTTTTCTTCATATTACTTACAATAACTAATTGAAATTTTAAGCAAAATTAATGGTATTTGCAAGTATTTTAATGAGATCATCATATTAATAGTTTAGTTGAATTTTATTTAATATAGTTTTTTAAAAGTTTATCACGTACTGTACTAAAATATTTGGTTGCCTAATAGATTTTACTGAGCAGGTATTTATGGGAAACGACCAAGTTTTAATTTTTTTCTGTATAAATAAATGTTGCTAAGAAATATTTTACAATTAAAAAAAATATGTCAGCTTTTAAATAATTGTATCTAGCCTAATGAGCAAACTGCTTATACTTTTTTCTTCTACTTCAAACATCCCCTCTAATTGTAAAGAAGGTAACACAACGAATATTTAAAAAAAATATTATTTTCCTATTACTGGTCCAAAATATTTTGACCCTTCTATTATAAAAATGAACTATAAAAGGCATAATTTTTGTAAGTAATCATGTTTTAAATTTTAATGATTATTTTAATCGTTTGGTTGAATTTTATTTAATATAGTTTTTTAAAAGTTTATCACGTACTGTACTAAAATATTTGGTTGCCTAAAAATAGATTTTACTGAGCAGGTATTTATGGGAAACGACCAAGTTTTAATTTTTTTCTGTATAAATAAATGTTGCTAAGAAATATTTTACAATTAAAAAAAAATACGTCGTTTTAGTTTTTAAATAATTGTATCTAGCCTAATGAGCAAACTGCTTATACTTTTTTCTTCTACTTCAAACATCCCCTCTAATTGTAAAGAAGGTAACACAAGGAATATTAAAAAAATATTATTTTCCTATTACTGGTCCAAAATATTTTGACCCTTCTATTATAAAAATGAACTATAAAAGGTATAATTTTTGAAAGTAATCATGCTTTAAATTTTTATGATTATTTCTTTTGCTACAAAAAAAAGGGATTCAACACAATTTGTACTATATGTGTGTGTTTAGACTATTTGAACATGCAGTACATTGCATTCTTTGTTTGGTTTTAACATGCTTGAGAGGACTAGCTAATTGAAGGTTATAAATAAGGTTATAAATCAGTACCTGCAAGTACCTGTTATTTTAATACATTAGAAGTAGAAATCACTAAGGCAGCACTTGTTATACATAAAGATGCCATGTCAACCAGCTTTAGTTTGAAAATTAGGTAAACCTGAGACTTGAAACTAAAGTTAAATCAGACAGTCATCGCTTTCTAGATAGCGATGTTATGAGAGCAGATGAGGCTGTTGAACCTCAAACAGGAACGAGGAAACTTGGAGGTGAATTAGAAGTTTTCCGAACTACTGTAAACCGGCACTTGCCAAGGATGGCGGAGCTGCAGAAGTATCCTCCATGAATTATCACTTCTTGTTGAAACTTGTGAAACTTCTTAAAAAAAGCACTCATTTTAGTTTCAATAAACGAATCTTCACTTAAAAAAATACTATTTAAAATAGTGAAACAGCTGGTTTGGAGGAATTTCAATAGCGTCTAGTTCAATTGTCCCTCATTTTAAAGAGATAAACTGCAAATTCAGCATGCTAACACTTTTAACTCCCTCAAAAAATAATTCACTTACGGTTGGAACTGACATTATATATAATTTATTGCCTTTTTTGGAAATGAAGTTCTGGTGAAGAGGATAAATTTCTTGAAAGATTGACAAAGAACCTGAGTGTTTTCTTTCAAATTAGCCTTATCGTGTGATTTTTGATAATTACTACTTAGCAGGACTGACCTGGTATGAAATAAATGTCTAAGTAAATGTATAAATGTCTAATTTACTATGTTTTTATAAAGAGAAGTTCTGTTGAAAAGGATAAATTTCGCGATAGCTTGACGAAAAAGCTGTGCGTTTTTAAAATGGTTTTATTTCTGATTTTTTATGTAAAATTATAATATTGAAGGCTGATAGTGATGATATAATTTTTTATTATTTTTTTAAATCTTCTACAGTCTCAGATATATAGATGTGGATGGCGCGTTGGTCCTTATTACATACAATATAATACAATCAAGTACAATCATCCAATCAAGTAATAGTAATAATTGCTCCTATATTTTAGAATATATTTAATAAATATAAATAATTTATTTTGTTTTGTTTTATTCATATTTTTTATATTTTATATATATATTTTTATATCGGTTAGGTGAACAGGTTCTTTTGAGGGGCAATTTACAAGAATGTTCAGAATTAAATAATTATAATCTCCTGTTAAAACATATACCACATGCGAACATAAGCATTTATTTTAGGTTCAATGCATATCGTAATAATTTTTTTGTAAGTCAAATTGATGTGCCTATTCAAAGTAAATTAAATCTTTACATAATAAATCGTTTTTATATGCCTCTAAATAATTGTTATGATTTTCTTTAATTGTTGAATAATTCACTGTTTTATACTAAGCTGTCAAGACTTGTTCTAATTTCATCAACCCAGTTAAAGGTATTGTGTAGTTTTTGGCACATTTTTCAGTTGTATAAAACAACGTTTGGTTTGAGGGGAATCATACATGTTCAGTTAAGCCAATAAGAGTTTAACATTTTTTAAAATATTTTAAGAACTGTATGTATTCTATCGGTTTCCAACTTGATATATGTATTGTATCAGGTGTAGTTTGTGGGAAGTGGAGTAGTAATTTAAAGTACCTCGCTTGACCTCAGTCGAGCAAGTCACTATATCTTAAAATAACTGTTAAATATATTGTAATAATACACATTCAGAAAGTAAATCGTGTATTACATTTCTGGTGTTCTGGTCATCAGTTTTACGTATGCAGTGTGAAACAAATAACTTCTTTACTTGGCTTGAGGTCATTATCATCACCTGTATTCCTCTAATGTGTCTAAGGTTTTCCAGGCTTCCTGACTTATAATAAAATAATCAAGTCTCTAATATTATTCAATTGAATTATAGTTGCGCCACGCGAGCTAAGTATTCCACGATCTAGTAGACAAATAATGTGAACACAAGGGGGCTCAGAATTTTTCCGTGAAGTAGTCCCTCAGATAAGGAAATCTTTTCAATTCACCACCAGACATCACCGAGGGCTCATAGAGGCTGAAAATAGCTTGCACGAGTTTTTGACTCATTCCTACATTATGTAACTTTTGCCACAATTTTTACGATTGAGTCAAATGCTCTTATATATATATATCCACAAATGCAGCAAACACTTAACGTTTTTTAATCGAAAATTAATGTTAATGATTAATTATACAATAAACACACATTGTTGACATTCTTTACCCTTCCAGAATCCCGTCTATTCTTCAGGTTACAAAGTATAATCCTCAATCCAATAGTACAGTCTTTTATAGATAAAATTTGTAAAAATCCATTATATTTCTTGTTATTATATTGACCAAATAACATCTTTCAATTAATTCATCTTTATGTAAGGTGTTGGTTGGGATAAAAAAGTCAATTTCACGAGCGGGAGTCGAACCCACGACCTTCGGCTAAATGGCTCTACTTCTGGCTAACTTCCCATCTGAACCCATCCTTTCGAATTTTCCATCCTTTTTGCCATTTGTCAAATGTCGTGTAATCAGGGTTCGATTCTTGGCGACAAATTAAATGACCACGGAGAGTTTTAGTGAAGATATACATCGTTTTACTTATTAAATCCATTATATTTCGTGGTCCGATTGGCCAAATAACACCTTTCAATTAATTAATCTTTATGTAAGATATTTGTTGAGATAAAAAAGAGATGGGAAGTTAGTGACAGAGTAGATCGATGTCACGATAGCTCAAGTGGTAGAGCAGCGACGTATTTAGCCGAAGGTCGTGGTTTTTTTTTTTTTTTTTTNAAAATCGTATATGTGTATTCAAATTTGGGGGGTTATTGGGAAAAAAGGGCCAGGGGCAACGGTGGGAATCGAACCCACGACCGCGGCGTGAGAGTCTCTCACACTGACTTTTTTGTCTCAACCAATACCTTAAATAAAGATTAATTAATTGATATATTTGGTCAATCGGACCACGAAATCAAATGGATTTATTTTAAATACATTTATAGTTGAAAGGGTTTTTTCTTCTTTTTGAAATGACGCACAAAAAGAAAAATTATAGCCGGACAAAGAGGGAACAAAATAAATTCTGCTCACGAGCGGGATTCGAACCCACGACCTTCGGCTAAATACGCCGCTGCTCAACCACTTGAGCTATCGTGTCTTCGATCCACTCGGACACCAACTTCCCACTTCAACCTACCTTTCGAATTTTCCCTCTTTTTTGCCATTTTTCAAATGTCGTGTATGCAGGACTCGATTATCGGCGACAAATAAAATGACCACGGAGAGCTTTAGTGAATATATACTTCATTTTACTTATTAAATCCATTATATTTCGTGGCCCGATTAACCAAATAACTTCTTCCAATGAGTAAACTTTATGTAAGGTATTGGTTGAGACAAAAATAGTCAGTGTCACGAGAGAGATTCGAACCCACGACCTTCGGCCAAATACGCCAACTTCCAACTTCAACCTACCTTTCGAATTTTCCCTCCTGGTAAAATGTCGTGGTTTCGAATCCCCCTCGTGACATTGATTTTTTTATCTTAACCAACATCTTACATAAAGATTTGAAAAATCTTTGTTGTTGTATTGAAAATGACCATTTCTCGATAAATGTTGAAATAATTGTTTATATTTAAAGATAATTACTACTTACTAGAATTGACATGCATGCAATATGTAGATTACAGTTTTCGGAAGATATATTCCATTTTGTACGTTTCTAGAAAAAATTAATTGATTTTTCCTGCAAAAACATTCATTCAATAATCCAATAGAAGAATTGGTTTAAAATCATACTTACCACAGATAATTGTCTTCTTATTCTAAGGCTGTTGTTTTCGGGAAGTCCAAGTGATAATAACATCCGATTATTTTAGGGTTTTATTTTTTAAATTAAAGGTTTGATTTACATATAAATCTCTAATACATATTTTTTCATATACAATTTTGATGACACTTTCGTTTAAAGAGCACCAACTTTGTTGACATTTGTTTTACGTTAAAACTGAATAGTTAGTGTCAGATTGACAATAAAAATTATGAATTTTAATCAGTAAAACATTAACAATCAATAAATAATTTCTGGGTTCACAAAATTTCATATATACATAGATATCGTACATTTATAACTATTGTATTATTCGTTCCTCGAAAATAATACAAACAGGTATAGTTTGTTTTTCACAAATTTGACTATTATACTGAAAAGATTAAATCTAAATGATTTAATATCAATAGAATACAGGACATTGGTATTTACAATTGGACTCTAACAATATAATACATTAACTACATGAAAATTCTAGTTGTAATTTGTAAATGAAAATAAAGGATGAGTGTATTAGTTGTAGAAAAGTGTTTATAGAGCAGTCTGACATTTAACATTGAGTCTACACTAGCGCACTACTTTGAGTAGGCAAATACATATCAGAAACATTTGGAGACCGATTATAAATCATAAACACCATTTTTTATTTACCCATGAAAAATCATAAACAGATATAAATAAACTTACTCATTGTCCCGTTCAAGTCTTAGTCTCTATCTAGACTCCCCTTCTTCTTATATACAGATTCTTCATAAATTAAATAACTTTCACTATATATCTTTTACGTTATGTACACGGAGTTAATTGTATTTTTAAAATAAAACAGTTTCAATTTAGTTTTGATTTCGTATCCTAGCGGAAACGTAGCTGGATGGAGATGGCTAGGAAGAGCGGGTGGAGAAGCGAAAGGCCACATCCTCGGCTGCTACTGCTATTCCCGTGCTGCATCGCCGCTGGGTGTTCTCCTGGGCAAAAGAAAATTCACTAAAAGCGCTGTATTTTATTCAAATTATTATTATAACATTATTATTGAACCACCAATGAAGTAAATTAAATGCGTAATCAACAAAACATATTCTCTCATATGTGTGGTGTTTAGTGACCGTTAGTTAATGATATTTGGAGGTCGTGAGATGCGGTCTGGTGTGACGATCTTTTAGAAAAAGATGTTCTTTATCGTGCCAACGTTTCGATCTTATTGAGTCATCTTCAGGGCCTGGGATTTATAAACATTATTAAAATTTTACAAATACATGTCGGAAGTGAAAATTGGCACGATAAAGAAAATGTTTTTCTAAAACCTATGTCACACCAAACCGCATCTCACGATCTCCAAATGATCTTTCTCTCAAATGTTTATTATCTCTTGTCTTAGTTTTTAAATGAGCATTAACTGTCGTTAGTAATATTGTTATTCTTCATAAAAAAATCATATTAATAAATAAGAAAATTTCTTTAACTTAGTACATAAATTTATTACAATTAATTAAAGTTTTTAGTTAAGATAAAAAAGTCAATGGCACGAGCGGGATTCGAACCCACGATCTTCGGCTTGATACGCCGCTGCTCTACCACTTGAGCTATCGTGACCTCGATCCACTCGGACATCAACTCCCCATCTTAACCCCACCTTATGAGTTTTCCTTCCTTTTTGCCATTTTTCAAATGTCGTGTAATCGGATTGGATTCTCGACGACAAATGAAACGGCCACGGAGAGCATTAGTGAAGTATACTTGATTTTAATTCATTAAATTCACTAATTTCGTGGTCCGCTTGACCAATTAATAATTTACAATTAATTAAGGTATTTCGTTGAGATAAAAAAAGTCAATGGCACGAACGGCATTTGAAGGGACATTTGAAAAATGGCAAAAAGGAGGGAAAATTCAAAAGGTGTGGTTGAGATGGGAAGTTGGTGTCCGAGTGGATCGAGGTCACGACAGCTCAAGTGGTAGAGCAGTGGCGTATCAAACCGAAGATCGTGGGTTCGAATCCCGCTCGTGCCATTGACTTTTCTATCTCAACTAAAAACCTTAATTAATTGTAATAAATTAATTGGTCAAGCGGACCACGAAATTAGAGAATTTAGTATATAAATATAACAGATCCGATACAGTCCAACGTTCGAATCTCAGCAGACCTGAATTCGAACCCAGAGTAATTAAATCAAATAAAAAACTTTAATTTTGTATAAAAGCATTATAATAAATAATTTAGGAAAAAAATATATACACATAATACTTAATAAGTATAGTTTAAGAAGTAAGTTATGGCATTTTCTTTCATAATTCTGATTGTTTTAAAAATACTAATTCTCACACAGTACTGTACATTAAGGTCATTGAATATAAACTAGAATGCTCAAAAATTTGAGTAGTGTCTGGGTAGAGGGAATTTGTCCTTGTGACCAAGTGTCTAGTTGATATGGTGTTGCAGTCATGACAAATCTTTGTAGTGCAGGACTATATTCTAGCCCAAGAAGTCAAAGTTCTCTTTTGAAATAAGAAAACCAAATAAAACAGGTCCACATCACTGCCCCAGGATTCAAAAGCATAATAAGCTGTTATCAGTTGACATTATACAATTGGTTTCAATCTCCTAACCCCAAAACAGCAGTCAGTTTGCACATTAGGAAATATATGACACAGTTAAAAAAGGCTGTAGTGTTGTTGATGATAACGGAATGCTAGGAAATGGTAATTTTGTATTCCAAGTACGGTAGACGTTTGGCTTATTGTACATTATTTTTCCTAGTTCAATTGTCTCGATCCTTCTCTTAGTAATAGGTCATTAACGGCCATTGCTGCAATTCTTTTCCCAGTCTGTTTTAAGCGTTTGCTTACGAGTTTAGTGTTTCTGGAACCTACACTTCTCCTTATATTTTTTTATAGATCCTAGCTTATTATTTGTACACCAAAAATACCTCATTTTTTATAGGTTTTTGAAACAAACGCTTTTTCAATTATTAGTGGATATTTCATTATTTTAATAAATTGACTCGTGTAACAATTTTTTCTGCGTGTTATATATAAAAAATAAAGATGTATACGTGGTTCTCCATGCTATTTTATATTGGCATATTTGAAATTGTTCAAATAGACGGTATCTTCTTAAAGAGGTTCCGAGTAAAAGTAGTGTTCCAACTCCATCAAACCAGTCCTTAGAAGTTGTTACTGGAGGTTAATTTGGTTTCTGCATGATCGCTTCCGAACTGTATTATAACACTGAAACTGCTTTTCATCTTGAGTTGAAAACCTCGCAGGATATCATTTCACTTAGGAATCGTATTATGCACAGAAAACGAAGATATATTTTTGTCCCTTAACAAATGCCGGATGTATAGATACGGCTAACGCGAATTAATAACGATATGAACCTCCTAAATATTGAAATACATAATTTTAGATTGACCGATGAATCAAAATCGGTTAAAATATGTTTATAGCAAAAAACAAAAGAAAGAAGAAAATATTTATTTTTGAATTTTTGACACTCCAATGATTTTGTCATTTGCAATGCATGTCAAAAAATTCCTGATATTGACATAAAACCTAAACGATGTTAGCGTAGGCTAAAATAAGAAATATTCAGCTTTCTAGTGGTTTTAATACTGTTGCATTTGAATACAATTTAAAAGAGTTACGAATGTTTCGGTGGAATACCAGAAATCGAGCAACAAAATAGCCCAGGTATATTTCGCTCAAAAATGTTTATTTTTTATTTGCCATAATGTATTTCTAGTTATTTAGGCGTATATTTCTGGACAGGTGTTTCGTTTTTGCAATTTTTTTTAATATCTAATGACATTTAATACAATCCTTCATATTCTTTTTTATTCTATGTAAATAATAAATCGAATGTGTGGTGGTTAGTGACCGTTAATCGACAATTATTCAGAGATCGTGAGATGCGGTCTGGTATGATGTAGGTATCAGAAAAACATTTTCTTTATCGTGCCAACGTTCCGATCTTTATTGAGATCATCTTCAGGGCCTGAGATTTACAAACATTGTTCAAATTTAACAATACATGTAGGATGTGGAAAAAAGTGAATTTATACAATGCAAAAAATAGAGTAGAAATACTTTGATTGAATATAAAAAATATTTTTTGCATTGTATAAATTCACTTTTTTCCACATTCTGCATGTATTTGTTAAATTTAAACAATGTTTGTAAATCCCAGGCCCTGAAGATGATCTCAATAAAGATCGAAATTTATTAAATTCACTAGTTTCCGTGTTCCGCTTGACGAATTAATATCTTTCAATTAATTAATGTTTTTAGCTGAGATAAAAAAGTCAGTGACACGAGCGGGATTCGAACCCACGATCTTTGGCTAGCTAAGCCGCTCCTCTACCACTTGAGCTATCGTGACACTATAGCTGTTTTTCTGAAACCTACGTCACACCAGACCGCATCTCACGAATTCCGAAAATTATCAAAAATACACAGAAAAACAAAAATTGAAACAAAGTGAAAAGAAATGATTTGGGGATAGAAAAGTGTTACAACTCCACCTCCCAAAACATAAATAAATAACTACATTTAACTACTATTTAGGAATTTAATAATTAAAACCTTTTCGATAAAAAAAGAGCAGAAAAATGTTGAAAAAATATTATAATTATAATTGGGTGACACCAATTTTCCCATGCATGAAAGAAAAGAAAGAAAACAAATAGGAAAATGATAATAAAACTTTAAAAGAGATAGAAATAAACAACTACAATATATTGGTCGATTTGAAAAATATAGGTTTTAGGATTTAGGTTTCTTCGTAATGAAGGCCCTTAAGGACTTCTTAAGAAAAAGGAAAAAAGGATGTTGGGTAAAGCTAATGCACAAACTTTTGGAAAAACTTGTGCCATATTTATTATGGGCGCATTTCATTTTTAAACTAGTATATATTGCTTTTGGAAAAATTAAATAACATTTAATCTTAAATTTTATTATCAATTCTTTGAGGTCCTACAAAGTAATTAAGAAGTGACCTTAAATTTGTGAACGATCTGATATTTAAGCAAAAACTTTGCTAACAATTCACTAATTTCGTGGTCCGCTGACCAATTAATTGAAAAATGGCAAAAAGGAGGGAAAATTCAAAAGGTGGGGTTGAGATGGGAAGTTAGTGTCTGAGTGGACCGAGGTCACGACAGCTCAAGTGGTAGAGCAGCGGCGTATCTAGCCGAAGATCGTGGGTTCGAATCCCGCTCGTGCCATTGACTTTTTTATCTCAACTAANAGAAATCGTGAGATGCGGTCTGGTGTGATGTAGGTTTCAGAAAAACATTTTCTTTATCGTGCCAACGTTTCGCTCTTTTATTGAGATCATCTTCAGGGCTCAATAAAAGATCGAAACGTTGGCACGATAAAGAAAATGTTTTTCTGAAACCTACATCACACCACACCTCATCTCACGATATCTGAATTACTATCGATTAACGGTCACTAATCTCTACACATTCTTCCTTTAATTGATAGTTTTCCATTTCGATTTAATTGGCGGGATTAAATTTATACGGTTAGATTTATGTTATTTAGTCTAGGAGTAAGAGAGAAAAATGGCCTGAACCAATATAAAAATAGTTCTTTTTCTGCACGTATTATCGGCTTTTTTATTTAATACAAAAAATAAAATATCTGTCCAGAATAGATCAATTCAATGATAAGGCGGTACAATAATAACCTAAAGCATAATTTTGTCAGGTTTGACCCTTTACTGTTTTTTAATTTAATTGGAATTTTTCCAATTTGAATTTATTCAGTTTATAAATTACTTTAATATTTTCTGTATTAACGATTTTGTTTCATGCCAATTTATTAATAAATTCTGATTCTTAATTTCCTTTCTCAGACATTTAAAACAAAATAGTTTGATTAACATAATTCGAAATGTTGCCAGAAGTTAACATTGGTCTGAAACCGATGCGTAATTTAGTGTATTAGCGACAATCTCGTAATC